TGGGTCGATCTCCCACTTCATCGACTTGCTGGGTCGATCTCCCACTTAATCGACTTGCTGGGTCGATATCCCACTTAATCGACTTGCTTGTCCGATCTCCCACTTAATCGACTTGCTTGTCCGATCTTCCACTTCATCGACTTGCGGGGTCGAGTACCCACTTGATCGACGAGCTGGGTTGATCCTTTACTTGATCGACTAGCTGGATCGATCCCCCACTTGATGGACTTGCTGGGTCGATTCCCCACATGATCTACTTGTTGGGTCGATCCCCTACTTGATCCACTTGCTGTTTCGATCTCCCACTTGATCGACTTGCTGGGTCGATCCCCTCCTTGATCGATTTGCTGGGTCGATCCCCTCCGTGATCGATTTGCTGGGTCGATCCCCTTGATCGTTTTGCTGGGTCGATCCCCTCCTTGATCGACTTGCTGGGTCGATCCCCCACTGACCGACTTGCTTGGTTAATCCCCCACTGACCGACTTGCTGGGTAGATCCCCCACTTGATCGATTTGCTGTGTCGATCCCTCACTTGATCGACTGTCCGAGTCGATCCCTCACTTGATCGACTATCCGAGTCGATCCCCCACTTGATCGACTTTCTGAGTCGATCCCCCACTTGATCGACTTTCTGAGTCGATACCCCACTTGGTCGACTTGCTGGGTCGATCTCCCACGTGATCGACTTGCTGGTCAGAGCACCCACTTGATCGACTTGCTGGTCCGAGCACCTACTTCATCGACTTGCTGGGTCGATCCCCCACTTGATCGACTTGCGTGGTCGATCTCCCACTTGATCGACTTGCTGGGTCGATCCCCCACTTGATCGACTTGCTGAGTCGATCCCCCACTTGATCGACTTGCTGGATCTATCCCTTACTTGCTCGACTTGCTGGGTCGATTCCTCACATAATAGACTTGCTGGGACGATCTCCCACTTAATCGACTTGCTGGTTCGATCCCCCACTTGATGGACTTGCTGGGTCGATCCCCCACTTGATTGCTGGGTTGATCTTGCACTTATGGATTGTTCGGCTTAACAAGTATCATAGTTTGCTTACTAGGATCACGGTGGCTTAACAAGGATAATTGTTGGTTCAACAAGGATATTGGTTGACTCAACAAGAATTGGTTGCAATACCAGGCGAATGTAGTAACAGTATCCTAACAAACGGGCCACTGACCGCGTTCGATCTTTCCTTCCTCGTCTTTGTCCCTCTCTTGCCTTCCATACATTTACACGTACACGCACTACATTACCGGAAGATGAGTCGGTGGCTTGGGCGGGGTCCTTCTGGCGGAAGATCCTGAGTAGGGAAACTTCCGCAAGCCGCCGTGTTGGCTTGCACCGGATCTGACGCACTCTACTCACAGGACTAATGAACAGTGGGGAAAATATGTATATAAATATGTAATGACAACATTAAGAATGTGTTATAAATAAAATCGAATATAATGTGTAATATTAAAATATAATATATAAAAACCATGTTTTTTCGTTGGTTTGTACTTAATGCGCTGCCGTACCGTTCATCCGATTGTGATAATAGGTTGTCCACTTACTGCTTGCACTTGTGTAAAGATTACAGGCTTAGTACAATGGAATGTGCAAGTGCATGCGTACATAGACGTACGATGATTTTATGCTTACTCCAGCGCCCTGAATAGGGCGCTTAACGCAACCCGCCGCACCATTATGTACCATTATTAAGTCGTCTCCATTGCGTATTGTGCCCCTGCGATCGTGAAATTGCCTGGGAGACAACTATACTGAGACGGACAGTTAGTGAAGACAGACGCAGAAAGGGTGAGAGAGAGAGAGAGAGAGAGAGAGAGAGAGAGAGAGAGAGAGAGAGAGAGAAAAGAGAGTGAGCGAGAAATGAGAGAAGGAGACGGGCTGTAACGGAGAGAGAAACGCAGAGGAAAGGAGAAAGAGAGATGGAAGGCAGGACAACGTCTGCCGGCTTCCTCTAGTTATTCATAAAACACATGTACATAGTACAAAATTACATTTATAAAAAAAATCCTAAATAAAGTTTAAAAATAATGCAATCGTTTTAAAAATCATTTCGAGAGCGTACGTTGTTACAAACTTTGCACCATACCACTTTCTCGTCAGTAGCATATGCTCACTATATAACGTGCGTCTATTGCTATCCAGGATCGTATTTAGCAGCCAGACCAGATGTAATAGCATCATATAAACTAGCGATATCTACAATCAGCAAACAACCACCACAGCGTGCAGCTCTCTCATACATGTGTTACACGACGGCGATCGGTAAAGTTTCTGCGAAATTAAGGTTAAAGGTCATGAAACGCCGCGTCAGTGATAGTTTTCGCACATAGGGTGAAAATCTCGGTCGCTGACGCGCACTTCCCGACTCTGAGATAACTGATGCAGGTGCGCCGGACTGTGAGAACATCCGACTGCCTCTTCATGTTGCTTACCTCGAATAAACAGCACGCAGTAATGTAGGAAAAAATTGTGATTAAAAAAATTCATAAAAAATCTGTAATGAAATTGATGAAAATTGAATAAAAAATATTTTGTAAAAAAATAAATTGAATAAAAAATACCGAAATATGTAATATAGTATTAAATATGTGACGAAAGAATCGGATATTGTGCTTTGCCGGTGACGATTCGCCAAGATTACAATTTTGAGATAGGTATGTTGTTGTTATTATTATTATTATTATTATTATTATTATTTTTATTATTATTATAGCCCGTTACAATTTCGTAGAGGGCATGGGACTGCGACTGTCGGGTGGGTTACACAATTTTGGAATTCCCGACTGCAACATACGCTATTTGCACGCCAATGTAGATAGGTATGAAGAAAGAGAAACCTATGTAATTGCATAAAAATCCGGCCGCTGCTAACAAAGGGTTGTCAATGTGTGTGTGGTGTTGCAGGGGCGCTGGCGCTGACGTTGCCGCTGCTGGCCGAGGCGCCCACGGCGGCCGCCGCCCTCGCCCTCGCCCCATCGCCCGCGCGCTCCCCACACAGCCCCGCGCCCGCCCGCGTGCGCGAGCACCTCTAACGCCCCTCCCTCGGCCCGCGCACCCAGCATGGCCTCACAATACGGACTTCTGAGGTGAGGAAGATGGTGCAGGATTGCATTTCGCCAATTTATGAGAACGATGTTTTGTTACAATTACAATTTGTAGCAACGCCTTGTTTGTTACAGCTTCCTACTCGAGTGGCGCGTTGTTTCTTTTCTTCTTTCTTCTTCAGTAAATCTCAAATTCAATTCATTCAGTCGTAGTCGTCATTGCCTTTTATCCCCTCAGCCAGGGACACGGTGCCGTTAGATCCCGGGATTCCTAGACCGCCCCAACCGGGAGCCCTGCGAATGCGCTTCATCTCCGTGACTTCACGGAGCGCAGTTAAGGAGCCTCGCGGCGCCGGCTTGTTTTGCATTTGACAGTTGCCTCTAATGGAGAGGCAATTCGTGATGCATTGTGTTGCAGGTCAAGGAGATTAAACAATTGTACATGGAGACCTGCTTACAAATGAGAGGAAAATGTCATGTGTGTAATGTCTTTTCATGAAATTTTCCATCACATGTTCATTAGCAAGAACCATCTTCGATAGCCGTACATGTTCTAGAAGTTTTTAATGTTTATTCGGTGGCAGCTGTACTTAGAGGTAGTACAGATACTGTATGCCCATGTTTTTTGGCTGAAGAACAAAGTGAAGAGACGGGTAGTATAAGCGATATACGAATACTCATTTCCCGGTTCTCTAGGTTTGCATCAGACCAACCCCCTCCCCCACCGTCCCCGTACTTTTCGCATTGAGCATCGTGGCGGATCATCAAGCGGGAGACGTTTGTTCTGAAGAGTGTGGAACCTTCCTCTCCGATGCTTTTCGATCATGCTGTTTCGATCACGCTGGAGATTTTTTCTTCAAAGTGCTGTGGTTGCGTAGGCCACATGCACTTAATGATCTTGCCTGTGCGCCACCAGGCGTAAACGCGCTGCTCTTTCTATGACGCCTTGCCTCGGTCCGCTTGCACCTTCTTTATTACATTCATATGAAACAAATCGTATGGAAGAAAACGTAAGTAATCTACAGATTTATCTTTATTCTACTTTGAATTGCGGCTAAATTAAATGCCTTGCTAATTCCGCATGTTAATTCAAGCCTTTGTCATCTTCGAAATACACGAACTCATCTTAATAATCTTAAATACATTGCAACTTTTTCTTTACCTGGAAGAGGACACAGATATTAATGTATAGTATCCAGTATAGTTCTAGGATATAAACCCATTGTCGAAAGCACATCTAGTACCTAAAAAATAAAATTTCAATACTAGAAATAGCAATGCCCGTTCTTGGTTTTGATGGGTTAGCAATATTTGCCCTTTGAGCCTTCGAGTTGATGTTGGAGCCCGTGCTCTGGTGCCTGCTCTTTACAGATGACAATAGCTCGAATCGCACGCCGTTGCGTGCCATTACGCAAGCGCGAAGTTGTAGAGCGAAAAGGCCGCAAAGCAACTAGAGGGCCCGGCTTTCCAAGCGCCCAATAGATTTCGTCGTTGCTTCACACAAAAATTCAGTGCTAGAGAATATATATTTTTAAGCCATACTTTCCATATTGGCCGGTAGCAAATGCAACACTGCTCATCTGATGCACATATGTAGGCAACTCTTTCCTTACATGCATTGACACGCTCCAGATACGGTAGTCCGCATCCCCCCCACCCCATCACCCTCCCAACTCTCACTTCCCGAAGACGGCATTGTGAGCGCCACAGGCAATTGTAGATGATACGTACAATACTTGCAGTGTAAAGAAGCAAATATGTTGAATATTTCGAAATATTGTATATAGCCCAATGTTTATTTTAGCTGTAAGATGTGCTTGAATAAAAAAAATAAACCCAACATTTTACATTTGTTGTACGTCCTTCACCGCCCGCCTCACATTCAACTACACCGCTCCACCAATATGTAACTCCTCTCTCTGCCGCCACACATACTCATGGCTACCAGCGCCAGCTCTTTTCATTTCCCTCCGTGTCTCTTATAACTCCCTGTAGCCTTCACCACCCTTAGCACAAGTCTTTACCTGCACATTGAGAACTTCCTGTGCTCTCCGTCCACATGGCCTTCAGACCCTCTTAATTAACAGACCTAAACATCAGTCAATGGCACACCATTTTCAGTGAAGTGCTGAGCTGTTAATTTGAAATCGAAAACTGCATGGAAACATTTTTATTTTCATTTACTATTAATTTATTATTATCGAACCAATTCGAAATATATGATATTGTACTATTTACGGTTTCTTTATTGCAAAGAATATTCGTAACATCCGCAAAGAGAACTGTTCTTCCGCTTCTAATCATCGAGGGCATATCGTTTACGTTTAGTAGGAAGAGATTAGGCAATAAAATTGATCCCTGCGGGACTCTACATGCAAGTGGCAAAGAATTAGAAAGGTGTGTACATAATGTTTCATTATTCCAGTTTCTTCTCTTTGAGATCGGTGTTTCAGGTACCATAACCAATCTAGAGCATTATAACGAATTCAAGGTAATTTTGAAATAAAAGATTATGATCAATGACGTCAAAAGCTTTTGTTTTACCTTTTGGCCCCGTTTTCCCTTCGATTAGCTATTCACCTCAACCCGTCGCGTTGTTCTTTATTTTCGGTGTCTCTCTACAATCGTAGAATAACCAGTTTTCCCTCATCTTGTGGATCTCTCGTGTCATTTCGTTTACCCTCCGCGTAACTCTTAGTGTCCACCCGTGGCGCAGTTGTCTATTATCTCCCGTCCCACGGCTACCATAGCTTACCCTCACCTTCCTGTGCGTCTTCTGACTCGAAAGCCTCGTTTACCCTTTTTGGGGTCTACTGCCTCTCGTTGCTGCATTCTTTCTCTTTTCGGTGTCTCTGTTCATTGTGCCCTTCGAGGGGGGTCGTACGTGGAGATGCAGAGAAGGCTCGAGTGTGTCTCCATCTTTCATTCTCTTGCGTTTCATTTCAAGTTATCTACATTATTTTACCACCCTTTTCTTCCTGACTGGCCTTCTGGTTGAGGAAGGAATGGGTGTCCCGGGGGCTGAGGGGTTCGTGCGCTTGAATGGCGCTGCAACTTTCGGAGTAGACATCGTCCAACTCTGTTCAATGTGCGAACCCCGGTGAGTCCTGGTGCCTGTGTAACCCACCCTTAACCGCGACGCATCTTACTGGACATGGTCTCCTGCTCTGTGCTAGATAAGAGATAACTGCCGAAGGCATCTTCCAGCCCCTAACAGCTGCTTGGTAATGAATTGTCTCTCTGCAGGCTTTTTATGTGAAAATTGAATCTATAGCTGTTAACAAAAGGGCTACCATAGAAACGATTTTTCGAATCCCCCCAAAAAACTAATGTCTTTGACAGTTTCAGCTCAAACAAACAGCGCCTTTATTCTGTAAGGATAAAAATGCAAGACTGTATTTTTAGAGATCTATAATTTTATGTCAAATGCAAGACTGGAATTGCAATTTTTTCCGCAAAAACGTTACATTAGCGAAGGGTAGAGAGAAATTTTAAGCAGCAATGGTTTAGGGGTAAAATGAGCCTGCTGCACTGGAGGCTAGCTCAAGCGGTCTTGAGTTTAAAACACCCGCTTTTTAACGAGTGGAGTATATAATGTCAACAAAGACCCTACCCGTTACTCTAAGGCCCGGCGCAAACGAAATTTCAAGACTTTTAAAACACTCTTCTGCCAGTGTTCTCTTATGCTGGGAGAGGGTGTGACAAATATACCACGTTGTACTCAGCATTGACAGAAACTGTGACAACTTGTAAACCTCGGGAAGGAACAAAGCGATTGGCCTCCACGATAGTACGACTTGCATGTTTGAAGATGTTAGTATTATCATAGGCAATATCATTAATGCTTTAGAAAGTGGATTCGCGGAGCGAGGAGGGGATTTATGTGAGAATTTCCAAAGCACGGATGGTATTTATTAGGACTATTCCACAAGTGAATATTATGTCCAGCAGAGTTCCAAAATACGCCAAATATTGAAAATAACTGAAAGCGTATGTTAAAATCCGATGTTATGGTGTAGTACGTATCCTGTTTACTGTACATCCACATGGCGATCGATGTATAACGCATCCTCAGATAGATGAGTCACTATTTACTTGGCTGTCCGGGTGGCGCAGCGTCCATGGCGAAGGTGCCGACTTTTCGGTCGCCATTCTGCGACCTTCCTCAGGGCGTAATGCCCCTCAGGGCCTAGTAAATACCTAAAAGATCTGTTGCGTCCCCCATACCCTAGAGACATCTCACCTCTCACTCTATATCTTGCTTTCCTCTTAAATTCAGTTTCATGAAATTAACAACAATCGTCATGGAGGTACCCAGCGGAGGCCCTAATTTCCAGGTACTTGCACCTTGGGACCAATGTAGTGCATTCAAGCGTAATAACACAGATGAGTAATTCCACGTCAAATCGCACTCACAAAACATCACTATTTTTTACCGACTTTAAACTTTTTTTTATAAAGTGTAGGGTTGAAAAGAGGTGACACTATTTTTTTCTAATCCATCTAATCTAATCTGTGAGAAATATTACGAATTATTTTTTTCGAAATATCATGCGCGGGATAATGTTTAATTTTTTTGCGCAAATACAGTTTTTTTAGAAAGACAAAATTAGGCTTAAATTAAACTTTAAAAAATGTACTTTCATTCGATGTAAAAATAGTGTTTGTAATCATAGTATTTAAATATTTAAAATATATTTTAATTTTTAAAATGCAAATTTTTAAATTTGGTCGACACTTAAATTAATTGTAAAATATACTCACTTATTTCTACACTAATGTTGTATAGACCTGCCAAATTTTTGAGTGGGACTCACATAAACCACATTCAAAAATGGTTTGTTCACCGGAGAGCGTAGGCAGCCCGCTGCTCGCTGTTAGAAGTATGGGGCGTCCAACATAAAGCAACTGTGAGACGTTGTCATGTTATGAATCCCAGAAACACCAACGTGGCGACCGAAAAGTCGGCACCTTCGCCATGGACGCGGCGTCACCCGGACAGCCTAGTAAATACTGACTCCGGCCGCGGAAGCCTACGCTCT